TGCCATCAGATTGGGCTTTTTTATCACTCTCACATTTGGATTTGGCAGCCTTAGCAACATCATCACGCAAAATATCTTCAGGAGACATGGGATGCAACACAATTTTCTTATCATGGTACAGAAAAGAGTACTGGTTTGACCTACCATGATGCATAGAATCCCTATCAAATTGCCATGGTCTACCTAGCAGAATATTACAAGCTTGCATGGGCACAACATCACATTCAACAACATCATGGTAATTTCCAATTGCAAAATTAATGTGCACCAGTTTTGTTACCTTCGCCTTACCACTGTTGTTCAGCCATTGGATGTAGTATGGATGTGGGTGCGGTTTGGTGCTAAGTGCAAGCTTCTCCACCATCTCGCTGCTAGCCAAGTTGTTGCAGCTACCTCCATCAATGATCATGCGGCAACAACGCTCTTTGACGACACACTTTGTTTGGAACAACGTGTGTCGCTGATTTTGCTCCGCCTTCTCCATTTGTGCGCTAAGGACACGCTGCACAATGAGGCTCTCATAGTGATCCGCAAATGCAGCCCCAATGTGCTCTTCCGGTGGCTCATTATCTGCATGGTCAGCCGCAAGCAAAGTAAGTGTATAATCATCGAAATCACTAGCAGAGGAGTACTCACCATCGTTTTTTACTACCAAAACTCGCTTGCTAGGGCAGTCACGCTGCACATGCCCAAAGCCCTTGCAACGGTGGCACTGAACATCTCTCATTCGGCCTGTGGATGCCATTGAAGAAGCACTCGGTGCTGGCTGAGCAGCCTTTATCGCTGACTTGTCACCAGATGGAGGAGGTGCTGCTCGACTGGTTGTGGGTGTGGAAGATGGAGAAGTAGTACGGCCGGCCGGAGGAGTGGTGCGTGTCTGCCATGATGAAGTTTTACCTGCAGAAAAATTAGCCTTGGCACTAGCACGTCGTCCCTGCACTTCCCTTTCAGCCTTACAAGCAAGATGAAACAATCGGGTCATATTAGTGTAATCTTTATAGTCTACGATGTCATAAATCTCGCGGTTTAACCCACCCAAAAATCTAGCCATGGCAGCGTCCTCAGTTTCCTCTAAATTACAACGAAGCAAGCCCATTTTGTAACTCCTGATAATATTCCTCTACACTTTTCGCACCCTGTCTCAATTGTTGCAACCTATTCAGCAAGTCACGTGCATAGTAAGAAGGAACAAATCTAGTCCGCATGACCCGTTTCAAAGCATCCCAAGTTTGTGGCATGTTATTAGGATTTTTCTTGCCATGTTCTATCCACCAAACCGAAGCAAAATCGGTGAACTCACTCGTAGCAGCTCTAAATCTAGTGTTCTCAGGAAACTCATGGCATGCAAATTTTTGGTCAACAGCAATCTCCCAAGAGAGGTACGCATCAGGATCATATTTTCCATCAAAAGGAGGAATTTTAAATTTAATTTTAGAAAAAGCATCATCATTGTTGCGTACCTCGCGTCGGCGGCGACCACCCATACCTCGTCGATTGTTGTGTAGCCGTCGACGATCTCGAGCATCTCGATCATCTTGTTCAGTGTCAGCAATATATTCATCCTCCAAATTATCCTCGACGTACTCTCCGTCAATGTCATCGTCATTACCCCCACCATTGCCTCCAGCATTGAGAGCATCAAAATGCCTCACAAGAGCAGCAAGGCTAGTGTCAATGCGGGCGACCGCTGTCTCCAGCCCTGTAAGCTTAGTGTTGGTGGAGATCTGCGTGGACTCCAATTGTCCAATCTTCTCATTTATCACCTGCAAATCTGTATCAAGTCCTTCTGTGTGCTGCTTCACTTGCCTTGTAAAGTATTGGATGATGCCTTTGGTGCGTGGGGAATGAGATGCACCCTCCTCATCTTTATCCTCTAAACCTGCCATGGTTTAGAAATGAAGGACAACAAAACAATGGAGGATGTAATGTAAGCCCTACACAACTATTGGGATGTAGCTTTTGCAAGACGCTCACTCTCACTTCACTCGCAGCTTGTCTCACAAGCTCTTACCAGTTCTTACCTTGCCCACAGGAGGGGGACAACAACCCACAAGTTAGCAACCGTGGAACGAGGTGTATCGGTGCTGTAGCAACAAGACCTGTCAAGCTGTAGTCGGGTTTGTGGTGGAGCTGTTGGTGGGCTGAAAGCAATGCTCAAGAGAAAACTAGAAACCACGTTAGCCAAAGCAAATTGAATAATCGCTCAAGGGTATAGTGTACAGTGCTGGTCCTAGGCTAGTTGAAGTAGAGACGCGAGCCTAACCACAAAGGACGCCACAAAACACAAACCCAAACAGCAACGAAAACAAGAACCGGTGGTGGAAGGTGGTGACAAAGGGGGAATGGTGGGGTGTGCTCGCTGGATCCTTTTTTTTTTTTGCTTGCTCTCTCTAGTGCTGAGGAGAGAGACACAACTTTTTTTTTTTATTTTTTCTTTTGATATTTTTTTCACAACCAGGAGCACACTAGAACCAACCACAGAAAATCTTATCTCAAACGGACAAAGTATGAAGCTTGTAGAATTTTTTTCAAAGTTCTATGCGAATAGGTCCCGAAGCTTCTTGCCACAAAAACAGAATTTTGCAAGAGGAATTTGGCGATTTTAAATTTTTTGTAGATGTCCGTGGATATATTATAAGCCTAATTTCGAGTCCGTATGAAAAAGATATGACTGTTTTAAGGAAGGTCACTCGAATCAGGGTTCTATTTCCTTTCTAGTGGCGGCAGGATACAAGGCAACTCACAAAAGCTATCGGCAGCAGATCAAACACAAATATAAAGTGATTTGGTGGGTGACTGCGACGGTGGTGACGGTGGTGATGACGGCAAAATTGATGAAGGTGGCGATGTGCGGTGGTGGCAAGAACTCGAAACTCTAATCGCTTAACACTAAGACCAGCAAATTAACACAACCGATGCAATCGAAAACTCAACAAGCCTTAACTAAGCAGTACTAGTAAAAAGGCACAATGGTCTATAGGATCACGGGAAAACTAATCTACTATTTTTTTTTGGTCTTTTCTGGGCTATATGAAAAAAAAATAATGACGAAGGGAAGGGTAAATTCTCTCACCGATGAACCACGCTCTGATACCACCTGATGCGAACCCGCTAGGGTTTGTGGCCCGATCTTTCGATGAGAGGTAAGGGATAACTCGATTAGATGAAGACGACGTTCACGGCCCGACTACAACTGTCCAAAGACGCTGCGCCTTAGCAACCGATACACCGTCTCCAATGGTCGCCACGAACTTGTGGTGCGCGTCAACCCGGCCACGAGGGCACTCGTCCTGCAAGCAATCGAAGAACAAGCAAGAACAAGTAGGACAAGCACTGAAATTGCTAGATAAAGATGAAAGTTTCACTATCAAACTCAATATGGTGGGGTTCCGATTACAGGCAGATGGGCGGTTTAGCCAACATGCGCGCTGCGAGCTGGTAGCAAGAAGCTATCTCTATCATCAAAACCCGCCTGTTCTTGGCGGCGACTAGAGGCATAAAAAGAGGGGAAGAACGACCATAGGGTCGTGCTCCAACCCTAGGACGCGCCCCTAATGGGCCCAACTTGGATACACAGCCCATTGGGCCAAAAGAGGTGACGCAGCACCATGGACAGAATAGTCGGGAGTAAAATGACAATTGCGGCCGCTCCAGAACAGTTATGGACATGTGGCTGGATCCATTTGAAAGTAGACTTGATAAGCTTTCCATGAAGTACTTGCACGCCCAAATCGGAGTTCGCATGAAGTCGTGGCGGCCGTCAGAAGTTGGCGCTGCCCTGCAGTCCGAATCCACCCCGCGCGAATCCTCTTCCCTTTGGATCCTCTCCATCGTTCCTGAGTAAAACACGAGTGCACGCGTCTCCGGGGTATAAAGACGAGGAATATGAACTCAAGAAAGAACTCACCTGATAATTTAGTTGACGTGCACGAGCGCGGGTAATAGGACCATCATGCTGTACATGGGGGGACGTGGATGTATCGATGGTGTTGATGTCCTCATCAACCCAGCTCCACATCCCTAGTTTATTTTATGAGAGCGCTCCACCTAGCTCCGCTCCTATTTTAGGTGAGCCGAAACTGTTTGGCTGAGCTCCAGTTTTAGAAAAGGTGTAGCTGGAACTGGAGCTGTGCCAAACATGCCCTAAAAGTCAAAAACTAGAAAACCTAGCTTCCCAGAAGCTAACTACCAATCAACAAGACTTTTAGAATCTTAAGCTCCTCCAAACAAAATATCAACACGATCCTCATTACATATATCTTTGACTATTACCTTCTTAAATCAAAAACTTTTGAAAATAAAATCTGCTATTCCCATGTTCATGTGACAAATCATATTACTTGTACTAGTGAATACAGTTTAGGTTTGACTGCACATTGTAAAGCAGCATCTATTTTCTGAGTTCAAGAATGGATGAATTAAATCTGTTTCTATTGAGGAGCTCTGCAAATGTTATCTATGCATGATTAATCGAGTTTTGTCAAGTGGAAAACTCAGTGGACTCTAAACAAGCCTGTTTTGGATAGAGGACAGTAAACTTGAAGTTCAACACAAAGGACTCCTATTGATTTGTAGAACCATGAAGTATACTCTTCTATTATTCTTGGTTATACAATTCCGCTCTCAGACTCAGTATCACACAGTTTTTACTGCACAAAATCTTGGATAATACAGAGGTTAACGTATTTGACATCAAAAAACTTATTTGAAGTATAATAAAAACTGCAAGTGCTTAAAGGAAAACTCAGGTATGGTATATATTATAAGACACTTTGACTATTTTCTACTTCAAAAAAGTTTCTACTTCAAAAACTTAAGTTTGACCAAATTTATAGAAAAAACATAACAATATTTTCAACCCCAAACAAATATACTATCAGAATATATTTAATGTTAGATTTAATATAACTATTTTGGTGTTATAAGAGTTGCTATGTTTTTCTATATAAACGTTGGTCAAAATTGTAGAAGTTTGCCTTAAAAAAAATTGAAACATCTTATATTATGAAAAGGAGGAGTATATTGGAGGCTAGCTTTTTAAAACATAACAAGCAAACTATTTGGATTGCGTACAACAAATTGAACAACTGCTCTCGAAAGGTAATATATAGGGCAAATTTATTCAGCATGAAAGTTCAAATTTGGGTAACTAAAAATAAAATTCTCCCAGACATTCTGAAGTGCAATTAACGATGAAAGAAGCATCCAAACTGTTATTAGCTCAGCTGTTATTTACGATAGTTGGCTTGTAGTCGATTATGAGGGTCTTCTCCAACACAGGCAGGAACTCGTTTGCAAATTCAACATGTGCTGGGTGTTCAATGTACTCCTTGACTCCTTCTGTGCTTTCAAAAGTGGACTCAAATACGTGTGTGAATCCTTGGTGCATGTTCTCTATGCTCACGTCAGTTCCCCTGCAAATTAAACAGCACATTTATGGTTTGATACATGGATCATCAATGTAGCAAGTTTGCACCAAGAAAAATGATTTGACAGATGTCCCAAATGTGATCTTGGTTCTTTATCCAACAGGGGAAATGTGTTAAACGACTACTGCTAAAAACATGCACCCACATTTATCGTGTCCGTGTTTTTGCTACCAGAAATGGTTAAGGGATAAAATGGATAAATCCAGAAGGGCTTTCCTGTGGCAAGGTGGTGGACCAAAAAGAGTTTCGCTTGGTCCCAAAGTAGAATGGAGGATCGAGTTTTAAATTTCCAAGGTTAGTAAACTGCCTCCTATGCAAATGGAGGAAGCTATTGACCATGGGAAAGGATTGTGGCAAAAAACTGTAAATGCATTATAATTTAGAAGGGTTCATATTGGCCAGTGAAATAACTGACACAATGTTCTGATGGCAACTTGGTCTCCTGACCTAGGGAGGGAGGTCAGTCACACTAGTAGAAGACTGGAAGGCAAGTTTATCTCATTTCTTCATTATTATTCCAGAAACCTGTTCAAGTAACCAATTATAGTTTCATTGGAAAACACGGGTGCGATAAAAAAACACAGGATATTTTCCATTTCTTTTGCATAGTGCACAGATACTTTTATCTACACTTTATATTGGAAGAGAAAAGGACACGTATATTATGAAACACAAAACTAAATTGTCCTAGTGGCACAATATAACTGGCATCCATGATGCCATGCTTTCTTCTTACATTACTTGAAGTCGTGAACAAGACCATTTAAGTCCCTAAATATACGAAATGCTATAGGACCAACATGTGTTAATTCCTTGCACATGGCACATTCACAGCAAAGATCATAGAACTTTAAGGTAGAGGAAAATTTTACTACTCCCTTTGTCCCAAAATATAACAACTTTTAGCCATTAGAATTTGTCCCAAAATATAACAACTTCACCAACATTCTTTTCCCAACCAATCACAACCCTCCACCATTTATTTTTCCTACCTACCTCCACTACTCATCCAATCACAACCCTCCACCATTCACTTCTACCTACTTTCTCCGTTTCACGATGTAAGTCATTCTAGCATTTCCCACATTCATATTGATGTTAATGAATCTAGATAGATATATATGTTGTGGTAAATGCTAGAATGACTTACATTGTGAAACTGAGGGAGTACTTTCTTAATAACTATGTCTAACTCTAAAACTTTTTATATTTTGGGACGGAGAGAGTACTAGTTATTTGAGTATAATGGTTTTCACCTGGAGGACCATTTGTTTGATTAACCTAACTTCCATGTTATTTTGACTACAGCGTTGGTCCTCTGAGTCTGAGGGGGGCGCGCCATGCCTTGACGTTCTTTAGTCGGAAGCGTCACGCGTCAGTAATTCGGTCATCATTTTGTGTTTATGAGTATCAAATTGCCGAATTTAGCAGCCAAAGAAAACTGAAAGATCTAGTACAATCGGGAAAGTAACCGTATAACTTCTCTAACCCGTAGTCCTGTATAATTGGTTTTGTTCTCTAAATCATTATGTTTTATTATCAATATACACCAGGCATATGAGCATATCTTTTACCTTCCTTTCAAACATAAAAAGTTTGCCTAGTGCGTAGAAATATCACCGACTCACTAGATCCATGAAAGCTACCAAAACCCGTTCACTATTTACAACTGTGATACGTTCTAGTACTCGACAATTCGCAGTGCTCCCAAACCAGCGGCCGCATATGAGATTATTAGGGAGCTAACCGAACTCGAAGCAGGCAATTAATTCGTCGAGCACCAGACAGGCACCGAACAAATGGGGATAAACGGTGCATCTGTACGAGACGAGGAGATCGAAAGCAGGCGGGTGGGAAGACAAGAACACCAACCAGTGGAAGGCCTTCATGGAAGGGACGAGGTCGACGAGGCCGGCATAGCCGCGGATGAGCTGGTCCAGCCGCTCCGGCGCCACGTCCTCCTTGAACCGCGCCAGCAGGATGTGCTTCACCACGCCGCCGCTCCCGGCCTCCGCCGCCATCGCCCTAGGGGCTTGGGCTTCTCGCTGCTGCAGCAGCCTCCCTCGCTACCTAGCTCTAGCTCCCCCCGCGCGCTCTCGATCTCCGATCTCCCTCTGCTCTCTGCAGCTCTGCTCGATCTCCCGATTGGCTTGGCAAATAGTGGAGTAGTAGAAGCGGATGGAAATAGAGAGAGAGGAGTCAACGGTCTCCAAGAAATAGGCACCCATCCCAATGGTGGGGACGTCGTGCGGATCGTGACGAGCCATTTTAAGGCCTTTCCTTTTTCGGGAAAATCAATTTTGCCTTCTTTTTTACAACTCAAAAACTTCGGATTCGGATCCGGATCCAATGCATCACTACAGAGATACTACACCCGTACTAAAATATAAGCATTTTTAGCTATAAATCTAGATAACTATATGATCAGATTTATAGCTAAAAGTTGCTATATTTTAGGACGGAAGAAGTACACAAAACAGTAACGCTACAGTGATTATTTACTGTAGATACAGGGATGGAAGTATGGTACTCTCTCCGTGCTCGTAAAGAAAATCGTTTAGGATAATGTTTAAGTCAAACCTTGAGAATATAAATCATGAATAACTATTAAGCTATTGAGTTTGAAAATATAAAAATTATATGAATAGATTTGTCTTGAAAAATACTTTCATAAGAGTATACATATATCACTTTTCAATAAATATTTTTATAGAAAAAAGAAGTTAAAGTTGTGTTTTGGAGACCGTGTCGATGCCAAAACGAATTCCTTTATGAGTACAGAAGGAGTACACAACATTGCCAGCTTTACTGTAGTGACGATCGGATCTGTCCGCTCTTGAAGGGATGTGTCAGGGTTATGGATACCACAAACCTAATAGTAGTCGACTAAATCTCGGCAGGACCCACCACATACCATGTCCAATACGGAAACAACCTGCGGATATAGGAGGAGTTCCGGATAAGGAAAGACAACTAGAGTTCTACATGGAAACAACAAGGACTACTCTGATTGTATCCATATTGGTTTCCCTAGTTCTACTTGGATAAGGGGACACCTATGGGTATAAATACAAGCCCCCCTAGGAGGAGAGGGGGGACAATGAACATAGACGGACACGACCACCTCAATCAACACCCACCATAGAAGACAGAAGATCAACATACAAGCCAACATACGCCAGGACAAGACGCCGGATATCGACTTCAGGGATAAGCACGGCTAGTCCCCTACAGTGTCTCCGGATACTGTCAGAAGAGACGAAAGCGTTATCTCTGATCTCGCCGGGTACGGATTCGATGAGGAAAACTACTCTGTTGTCGACTACGAGTCAGAACTACAGACCGCCATGTCGACAACTGTTAGATAGGCTACCCCAAATATTGTACTGGTGTGATTATGGTAATAAGAACAATACCGGCTTCGGCCAACAGGATGTAGGGTTATTACCCGACAACTCAGGGGCCCGAACCTATATAAAAATCCTTGTCTCCGTCTCTTTTACCTCAGTCTCACGTATACCCTAGTACCAACGATCCCCATACTATGTAAATACCGGAATCGCGACATCAAACGTTGATAGTGGCGCGCCAGGCAGGAGGATTTTGGTGCTTCAGGATTTCGACGAGATGGGTTCAAAAGATGGATTCTCCAACAACAAGCTACTCGACGACTTCAGCTATGGGGAGATCTGACCTGACCGGAATATGTCTCCCGACGAGATTGGAACCATTCACTGGTGGAGAAACCATCTTTCGTCGGTCGGCCGATTTCCACAATAGTCCCGGATGCAATAAAAACCGGGGCTAAAGATGATCTTTAGTCCCGGTTCAAAAGGGTAACGGGCATATTTGATCTTTAGTCCCGGTTTGTGTTACCAACCGGGACTAAAGATCATCTTTAGTCCCGGTTCGAATGCTGTCAGGGCCTGTCAGGCCCCCCCGGGATCTTTAGTCCCGGTTGGTAATACCAACCGGGACTAAAGTTGGTTGGTGTTACCAACCGGGACTAAAGATCCCAGTGATCTTTAGCCCCGGTTGGTGCTACCAACCGGGACTAAAGTCCCACCCCTATATATATGATCTTCTTCCTCCTCCAGCTGCCCGAGCAAGCTTCAAAATTTCTTCAAAAAAGAGGGGAGGTCATGCCAAAATTTCTATTGAATTTATTTTGGTGATTACATACAAATCGGAGGTGCCTAAAAGGTTTGCAACTTCATCCTCCAATGTTTTTTTTTGTCATACTACATTTGCACCTATGTTTTGCACACTTTTTTTGTCTCCAAAATTTAGTTGTAAGTTGATGAGAGAGAAAATGTGTGTGGGGAAGAAAGAATATATAGAAATTTAGTTCATTTGCTAAACAAGGTTTTATAAAATAGTTGAGAAGGAAAACTCTAGTGAAAGTTAATCTTAAATAATAGAAAACAAACTAAAATGAAAATTAAAAGAAGTAAAACACATTAAAATTAGTTTAAAACTTTACAAATAGTTTTTAAGAATTATTTGGTGTAATATTTTATGATTTTTGTATGAATAAAGATATCTTATAATTATTGTATGACTCTCATTATTGTAAGAATAATTATTTGTGTACGGTTTTTTGACTCATGTAGATGGATCGGCAATGGATATACGCTGACCGGCGGTCCAAAGAGTTTATTGACGGCGTGCACTATTTTTTGAGAGTGGCCGAAGCTAACAGGCAAAGGGGTTTTATTTGTTGTCCATGCAATAAGTGTAAGAATCAGAAGGAGTATTCTGCATCCAGGACTATTCATTTCCACTTGTTTGAGTCGGGGTTCATGCCAAGCTATAATTGTTGGACATCCCACGGAGAGCAAGGTGTTGAAATGGAAGAAGATGAAGTGGAAGACGACAATATTCCGGACTTTGCTCAGTATGTTGGATTTGAAGGAAATCAAACGGGCAAGGAGGAAATAGCTGCTGATGGTAACGACGTTGCGGATGATCTTGGTCAGATGTTGCAGGACGCCAGGGAGGACTGCGAAAGTGAAAAGGAGGCCCATAAATTGGACAAGATGTTGGAGGACCACAGAACTTCGTTGTACCCAGGTTGCGAGCAGGGGCACAAAAAGTTGGATACCACTCTGGAGTTGTTGCAATGGAAGGCAAAAAATGGGGTTAGTGACAAGGCATTTGGCGATTTATTGAAACTCGTCAAGAACATTCTTCCGGGGGGAAACAAATTGCCCGAGACAACGTACGAGGCTAAGAAGATAGTCTGCCCGTTAGGACTGGAAGTTCATAAGATTCACGCATGTCCGAACAATTGTATCCTATATCGCGGTGAGGAGTATGAGAACCTAGAAGCATGCCCTGTTTGCAAAGCACTACGATACAAGATTAGACGGGACGATCCAGGAGAAGTTGACGGGCAGCTAACAAAGAAGAGAATTCCTGCTAAGGTGATGTGGTATTTCCCTATAATACCACGGCTAAGGCGTTTGTTCAGGAACAAGGGGAATGCTAGAATGTTGCGATGGCACGCTGAAGAGCGTCAACAGGACGGGATGCTGAGACACCCCGCCGATGGTTCGCAGTGGCGAAACATCGACAGAAAATTTAAAGAATTTGGAAAGGACGCACGAAACATACGGTTTGGTTTGAGTATGGATGGCATGAATCCTTTTGGAGAGATGAGCAGCGGCCATAGCACTTGGCCCGTTACGATGTGTATCTACAACCTCCCCCCTGGCTATGCATGAAGAGGAAGTACATAATGATGCCGATTATTATTCAAGGCCCCAAGCAACCTGGTAACGACATCGACGTGTACCTAAGACCACTGGTCGAAGATCTTAAACAGTTGTGGAAGAAGGAAGGTGTCCCCGTGTGGGACGAGGACAAACAGGAGGAGTTTAACCTACGAGCGCTGCTGTTCGTAACCATCAACGATTGGCCTGCACTTAGCAACCTATCCGGACAGTCCAACAAGGGGTACAAGGCTTGCACTCACTGTATGCATGAAACAGAAAGTACGTATCTTAAGCACTGTAGGAAGGTTGTATACATGGGTCATCGTCGATTCCTTGCAGCAAACCACCCGGTACGGAAGAAAGGCAAGCACTTCGAACATAAGGCCGACCACCATACGAAGCCTAAACATCGCAGCGGGAAAACAGTGTTTGCTATGGTTAAAGATCTTAAAGTAGTGTTCGGAAAGGGGCCTGGAAGCCAGCATATAGAGAGCGAAGATGGTCACGCGGCGATGTGGAAAAAGAACTCTATATTTTGGGAGTTACCATATTGGGAATTCTTGGACGTACGCCACGCAATCGACGTGATGCACCTCACTAAGAACCTTTGCGTAAACCTTCTTGGCTTCCTAGGTGTATACGGAAAGTCGAAAGATACACTGGAAGCACGTAATGATCTGAAGCATATGGAACAACGCGACGACCTTCACCCGGAACCAAAGGAGAAAGGAAGCCATTACTTGAGTCCAGCCAGCTACACTCTTAGCAAGGCAGAGAAGGAAAGTATGTTTGAATGCTTGGAGAGCATAAAGGTACCGTCTGGATACTCCACGAATATCAAGCGAATAATAAGCATGAAGGAGAAGAAGTTCACAAACCTAAAGTCTCATGACTGTCACGTGTTGATGACACAACTGCTACCAGTTGTAATAAGGGGTATCCTTCCAGACAATGTCCGGGCAACAATAACAAAGCTATGTGCATTCATGAACACAATTTCGCAGAAGGTCATCGATCCGGATAGATTAGAAGCCCTTCAGAATGAAGTGGTGCAATGTCTCGTCAGTTTTGAGTTGATATTTCCACCTTCATTTTTCAATATAATGACGCATCTGCTTTGTCACCTTGTGAAAGAGATCCGTATTCTCGGGCCTATGTACCTACACAACATGTTTCCTTTCGAGAGGTACATGGGCGTTCTGAAGAAGTATGTTCGTAACCGTGCTCGTCCAGAGGCAAGCATCGCCAAGGGTTATGGAACAGAGGAGGTCATCGAATTTTGCGTAGAATTTATCGATGACTTTCGCCCAATCGGGGTACCTGAATCACGCCATGAAGGGAGACTACGGGGAAAGGGAACTCTCGGAAGGAAAGCAATAACGACGGTAGACAACAATTTATTCCGTAAAGCCCATTTCACTGTTCTGCAACACTCTTCATTGGTAGCTCCTTACATCGAGGAGCACTTGGCTCTAGTTCGCGCCAGGAACATCGTTAAGTCCGATGCATGGATT